TGAGGATAAGTCAGCTGACAGCCCTATGGGAGCTCCTTTGTAGGTAACAGATTGCTTTTCTCTTGCTGCCTTTAAAATTCTCTCTTTGTCTTGAATTTTTGACATTTTAATTATGAGGTGTCTGGACGTGGGCCTCTTTGGATTCTTCTTGCTTGGGGCTCTCTATGCTTCCTGAACTTGTGTGACTTTTTTCTTGACCAGGTTAGGGAAGTTTTCTGCCCTTATTTCTTCAAACAGATTCTCTAACCCTTGCTTACTTTCGACCTCCTCTGGCAGTCCTATGATGCAAATATTGTTATATTTTCATGTTGTCCCACAGCTCCCTTAGACTTTCCATGTATTATTTAATTGTTTTTTCTCTTTGGATCTCTGATTCAGTGATTTTTTTCTACCCTGTCTTCTAATTCACTGATCCAGTCCTCAGCTTCCTCTAACCTGCTGTTTATTCCTTCCAATGTATTCTGTATTTCTGCTATGTCATTCTTAATTTCCTTCATAGTTTTCGTATCTTTTTCCATGCTGTTGAGCATCATTACAATCAGTATTCTGAACTCTATATCTGATAGATTGCATTTATCCATTTCATTTAGCTCTTTTTCTGGGGACTTCTCTTGTCTTTCATTTGGGGCTTGTTTTTTTGTCTCCCCATTTTGGCTGCCTGTTTGTGTTTGTTTCTATGTATTAGGTAGGCCTGTTAGGACTCTCAGTCTTTTTGGATGGTTTCTGTTGCAGGCCAGTGTCAGACACTGTTTGCAACTGGTCTTGAATACCCTGGTTGGAGCTATCAGCAACCCATGGCTTGCTTGAGGTCCCCTCTGTTGGGGTTGGATGTGTTTGGACAGGGCCAAGATGCACACCAAAGTCTGCTTTTCCAAGAAGCAGATCAGGCAGAGACTTAAAGCACTCTGAAGTCTGCCTCTGCCTGCAGGCTGATTAATCTGATTCTCTTAATGAGCCCCAGGCTGTGGAAACTCCATGGGGTAGGGCAAGAGATTTTCCAGGAGGGTGGGGAAATTGTTTCTCCCTCAGGCAAAAGCTGCTTGGAAGGTAGATGTCTGCCTCTGCAGAATGGGGGAATGACTCGGCACAGGAATCTAGAGGGGTGCCCTCTGAGCTCTGTCTCCAGAGCCCACAACTCTATATTTTTTTCACACAGCTCCAGTCCCCTCTGCCCTCCCCCGGCTGGACCCCCAGATGAGTGACTGCACAGGAAACTTTGTGCATTGGCTCTTAAGAGGGTGCCTGCATTTCCAGCTATTTCTCGCTGGCAGACAGAAGCCCAGCTGCTTTTCACAGCCAGATGTTGTGTGGGCACCTTTCTGAGTTCTGGTGCTCTGAGCTGGGAAGCCCAGCCTGGGGTTCAGGCCCCAGAGTCCTCGGTGGGAACCCCCACAGCTGAGATCTCCCCCGGACCTTCAGCTGCTGCCCGTGGGAGCCCAGCCGGCCCTCTTCGCGCCTCCGCACTTCCTCCCAGTCTCTGTGGTCTCCCCTTTTCCTCCTTGGTTATGAGGGTGCTCTCCAGCTCATCTTCAGTTGCAGTTGATTATTCAGGGTGGTTTTTCTATATTTTAGTTGTAATTCCAGTTTGGTCCCGGGAGAGTGTCAGTGTAGCTTCCACGTAGTCTGCCGCCATCTTTCCAGCTTCTTTTTTTAATTGTCCCAGGTAAAAAGTTATTGTTTCTCATTAGAGTCTTAAATAGCAATTACTCCCTAATGGAGGTTTTAAAAAGTACTTGTTTAATAGCCGCTCCATATATTTGAAAATTTTCTTTGCAAATTGTAGTAAAGAAACGTTTAAGTATATTGATTGATATAACAGAGTATCATTTCCAAAGAAACTTTCACATTTGTTCCTACTTAGTTTCCCCCCCTGACATGGTTTATTATATATTTACAATATATGTATTTATATATAAATATTACATATGTTTGTTTATAATATGCTATGCCACATGTTTGTTTTTTTACTCCTCACCCGAGGATATGTAGAGAAGGAGGGAGGGAGAGAGGAGAGAGAGAGAGAAAAGAGTATATAGAGAGAAACATCTATGTGAGAAACACTGATCTGTTCCCTCTCATACTCGCCCTGACCGCTGATCGCACCCGCAACCGAGGTTTATGCCCTGATCGGGAATTGAACCCGCAACCTTTTGGCTTGCGGGATAGCACTCTAGCCAACTGAGCCACACTGGCCAGGGCCACATTTTTTTTTTATGATTTTAGATTAAGAATAAAGTTAGAATTATAGATTTATTTTTCATTAAAGTTTCCCAATCATATAAAAATTTTAGATATTGATTTAGATACATACTTTTTAAAAGTCAGATTTGCATCATTCAACAGATGTCTAAAAGAGCACTCTTTGTGTTGCATCTATGATTACATTTTCATTCTTTTATAACATTTCATTTTTCTCAAACCTAATAACTGTTTCACCTTTTCTCCACAGTTGTAAATTTCTGTGGAGCAATCTTTAATTTTTCCTTCTGGTCTGTCCCACATCTATTGGTGGCTTCTTCAGATGTTCACACAAATCAGAGCTGTATCAGTTCTCTTTTTTCCTGGAGACCCCTGTTCCAGAGCCTTCTGTGGTGTTCCTACTTGGACTGGCTGCTGGTAGGCCTGCTGAGCACCTGTGCTCATGATTTGGCCGCCTCCTTTCTTCTCTCCTGTGCCTTCCAGTTTCTGGGTTTACACCCTCATATTGCTGGAAACATGACCTCCAGTTGTTTCCTATGAAATGTGCTTAGAAGGTAAATGTCTAAAAATATTTTTATCCTTATTATTAGGAGACTTTTGCTTAATGTTCTAGTTTAGAAGCCCAGGCCTTACCCTTGCCTTCCATTGAGACTTTTCTGCTCAGTTTTCTCTAGAAAATACTACTCGCTGTCCCTGATTTCTTAGGTCTGCCAAAAGTTGTCCAGTGTCTTTCCCAGCTTCTAAATTTTGCAGCCATTTCTCCTCTGTTTTCCTTGTCATTTCTTCAGTTCTCTTGGCTCTGTGGGTTTTATCTTTATTGTTTTCTTGCTCTGTGGGTTTTGCCTTAATTTCTTTTGGTTATTTCAGTGGGTTGCTGGAACAGAATAGAAATAAATGCATGCAGTCAAGCTGCCATTTTAAGACAGAAATCCCAACCAGGTTTATATTTTTTTTCCCTTGACTTTGGAAAGTATAGGTCTTAGCAAATTTAAAAAGCAGAGATAGCACAAGCTATTTCATTGACATTGAATTTTATTAAAATAAAATGTAGGTATCTCAGGTCTGACCCCCTCTCCACAGCCCACAAGATTAAATGTCTTGTTAAATATACAAAATGACTTTCTGACTAGGACCTGGAAGTCATTTTGACAATTAGGTAATTTTGTTGTAAAATGAATTTAACTGATAGCAAAGAGAAAAATCAGTGAGAGTGAAAGTAATAGGACAAATATTTTCTTTAGAGTCTAGAGATATTTTTTGAAGATCTTTGTGATTTGGATTTGGGGCTCTTTAGAAACCAGAGCAGCTGTGTGATTACACGTCTGGTAGTGATGGTAGAGTAAGTTTAAGTTGTTTACCCCTCTTATCATTGCCTATCTCTTTAGCCAAATGGTGATTTTATTTTACTTGTATTTATGCATGGCTAACTTTTTCTATTTCCTTTTAAAAACCCTTGAGACTTGAGTATGGTATTTTGAATTCAATGAGACCAGTGGACATATAAAATTAAATTATAGCAAAAATTTATATATCATTTAGAATTTTCCCCCAAACATCCTGATCTCAAAGGATGTTGATGAATTCTTTAGAAAGATGTCACAAATAACTACTCACAAGGGATTGTATCTGCAGAACCACTTGTAATTTTTGAATTAAAGATGATTAGAAGCTATATACATGCTACTCTTCAATACCTTAAACTCACCACAAAGATTAATAGAAAACTTTTGTCTTAGCTAATAAGGTTGGTTTGCATGACAATTTCTACAATGCATAATCACTTAAAACCATTTTTAAATAACTCAGATGTAGCCTAGTGTCTGAATATGGGCACACACAGTGCTGTGTGCTTCTGAATCTAATTAACATGATGTTTGAAACATTTTGGCATTTTGATTAGTTATATAAGCGTAATGAAAAAAATACAGCCACATGAAAGAATGAGGGATGAGTCAGTAAGCTCCATTATTTCATCTGAGTCTATCTTACTGTCTGTTGAAATCAGGACTACATGTGTTTACTGAATTGGTTAATCACCAATAGTAAATTTAAAGAACAGCTTTATTATTTCTTTATATTTTCTGCCTCTTCAGCTAGATTATGAGCTCCTTGAATGGGAATGCTTATCTTATTTTTATTTTTGTATCTTCTGTCTGGTGCATCTTAAGTGTTCTAATAAGTTGTTTTTTTTTATTGTCAACTTTTCTGAAATTCCTCTATCCCATCTTTTGGACTTTTTAATTTGTTTTTCCCACTTTACTTCTCCTGACTGCTTTATAAATCTCATTCCCTTTTGCTCTTTTTGACTCGGCCTCCCTTTAGTCCGTTGGGTCACTGGCTCTTCCCACCTACCTGGGAACTCCTCGTTGCTAGGCAACAGGATGCACACATCTTAGTGTGGACTGCACCAGGCACGGTGCTCTGTACATATGTGGTGATCAGTAAGTGTAACTAAGCATAATTACATATGAAGAACTGTATGTTAGGAAGTGTTTTTCAGTGAATGCTTTTATTTACAATACTATAATAAATCCTATGATTTTAATTGGAACTATAACCATACAAATACTATTTGTAATTAGGGAAAAAGTAAAACTATGGATCCAAATAAAAAATACTGGATCCTGGGACACACAATGCAGTCTAAACCAGCAGTAGCAGGGCTAGATAGAAAAGACTACCATGTTTCCAGATTGCCTTTCTTTAAAATTAATCTTTAACCTTAGTTATGCTAGGAAAACACTTTATATCCTGCACCCAAATCGAGAGAACTGTGTTATCTTAATGTGTCTGTTAGAGCATCCTGAAAAGCTGCATGTCACGGGTTGACTTAATGGTGAGATGGGATCAGGTAAAAGTGAGTTGCCAAGACTGTCCTGGATAAAATCACCATTAGGAAAATATTAAATTTGCCGGTAATTCTGTTTGAAGAAATGCTTAAGAGTGAATGGTATTATATAATTTCAAGACAGAGAAAACCATATGTGTTGCAGTAGTATTTGTGAGGAGATAATTCTTGGTTAATGATGTTGAGAGGTTCCCAAGGTTGGCTGGGAGGGTCAGAGGGTTCCTTTTGGACAGAATATCTGCCTTGTCTCTGCTCTGCTGTTACTCTATTAGCCTCTCTCTGAACCAAGTCCAGTCTACATTTGCCCCCTTAACCGTGGACCAATGGCATAAAACAGCATAGTAATTACATTATTGCTTGAGCCACAAAATAAGTCCACCTGCTATAGAAGAAAAGCAGTCATTTTAAAGAGGTCTTTTGAACTACTGGTGATTTCAGTGCCACAAATTCCATGTTTTAATCCCTCCCCACCCGCTTTCTTTCTCTCAAGAAAATGGCATAATGGATTTCAATTGTGCCTCTACACAGAAAATGTTTCTATATTTCTTTCGCAGTTCAGTCAGTCAGACTACTCTGTAGGTGTCTAGTAGGAGGTGAGGTAGGATCTGGGAGCCAGTATGCATTCTCTTCCTTTGTCACCTTCCTTGTATTACACTGATATTTTAAATCAGTCATCAAAATATAGCTAAAGGCAGCTGCTGTTTGGTTCACAGCTCTGGTCAGAGTAGTATCAGCCTTGCTTACTCTAGTGGGTAGAATTGCCTTGGTAAGTATGACTTATATGTACTAAGTCTAGTATTTCTTTCATATGGGATACATTAGTTGACTACTTTCTATCTCAGAATTCACTCTGTAAAGACGTTGCAGAATAGAATGCATGAGTGACTTATCTGAAATTAAACTTGGTATATGCATTTCCAAAATCTACCTCTGTAAAAAAAATACTTATCTTTAGGAGTTTACTGATATATTGGGCAAAAAGTGTTTCATATTTGCTACCATTATTTTGGTAGATATTTCAGTTAATTAGGTAGAATTTTTATTTAGTAAAATTTTATTGTAATAAATTTGTAGGATATAAATATAAACACTAATACCGTTTGTAAATCTTGAAATTGAGTATTATATTTTACTGCAATTATTATAATACAGTTCTGAGAAATTTCAAGTCACTCTTAATCTGAATCTTGCTGATAGTGGTTTGTGGGAACCACAGACTCTTAAGGGTCATTAGGATCTGAGGGTTTAATGTGTTTTAGCCCTGTGATACTCAGTAAATTAATAACATCCTTTGTGCATTTTTCTTCGATTGACTTATGATAATAGGTACCAACATCATAGGGATGTTGGAAGGATTAAATGGGTCAATACTTATAAAATACTTAGACAAGAGCCTGGAACATAAGTATTCAATAGATGTTAGCTGCCATAATAATTATTATTAATTTTTATATTATGCAGAAATTGAAACATTCCATACATATATCTGATAGATTGATACAGCAAATACTTTTATTCAATTGAAATTTAACATCTGTTTTTCCATCTCTACATATTAGCAAGAGACTAATTTACTTAACTAATTCAGGGGATGTTTATTGAATTTATGCATTGGAATGTACTATGCATTTTGGAGAATACAGTCTTTTCCCTCAAGAAATATTTCCTTAACATGCTTAATATAAGAGTAGGAGAGATGCCATATGAGTAAGTGGATTTGAAGTCAGCGAATCTTACACTTTGTAACAAATTGCACAACAAGCTCATGGTTTTTGTTCTTGAGCAGGTTTCTGCATGTTTGTGCTGAGCTTGGTGAAGAAACATTATCGACTGCAGTTTTATATGGTATGTGTTCATCATTATTCTGTAGTCACCGCATATCATAGAAACCCTTACCTTTAATTTTTGTCATAGTGAGAAGATAAAATGCAATCTGCTAGTTGATGCCTAAATGTGAGGGATATTTCAGTTTTGGTTGACTATTAAATACTAAAGGTTGAAGTTGAAACATTTTTGAGGATTTAAAATTTTTAACTATTTTCAAAGTTTCCTAAAAACGTTTTTAAAAAAGATTTTCAAAGGCTATACAATTAAAACCAATTATTTGGATTCCCTAAATTTGTAGAAATTTGAAGCATTTCTATAGATTCCTGAATAGTTAGTCTGAGAAGCCTCTACCATATTTTTCTACGGAAGTAACTGACTATGTTTGACTTGAGTATAAAGGGAACAAAGCCTATATTTTCTTGGTAACTATGGTTAATCATAAAATTGCACAGTTCTTTTTGGACTACGGTATTTTATTCAGTTTATCATTGAACGGTGTTCAGTGTTTTATGAAATTTATCACTGTGTATGATGAGCTTTTTTTATTTCCTTAAAAGGTAGCTAATTATAAGACTAAAATGAAAAGCACAGTATTTAGATCTGTGAATTCATGTATTAGTAAGGCTTGTTTTGGATTTGGGATATATTTCCTATTCTTTATGCTTTGCTTTCTTCCATTAAGACTTCTGGCTGAGAAATTATAATATTTCTTAAATTTCTAATTTCTGGAGACGTTGAAAGGAAAAGAATAAAATCCTCAATATAAAATCTAGAAACCATCAAGACAAATTAGAATTAATAGGATCTCCTATGAAAATATGAATGGTGCCTATTGGAAAAAATCATTTATGCATTTTTAAGCAACCAGGGTAAAAGAGAATTGGATCCTTTAAGCAGATAAAAATAAAATAAAACATCAATACAGTATTTGCTGAAATAGAGAATAGATTTATTATGAATGAATAAAAATCTAAGGATTTTGAAAAGTAATAAATTCCAATCAACATGATGACACTGGTACGTGGAAACGCGAGCCTTTTTCCATTCACATTCCACTCATACCGATGACGCTGAAAGTCACTGAAGGCCATGGCTCAGGCTGCGTGGAATCAAACACGGAGGCCTTTGGAAATCTGAAGCCCCCGCTGCGGTTGCGCAGAGCGGTGACGATCAGCTTTCCAGTACAAGAGGACGGCCTTCAAGGGCAGTTGGTCTCTGCTGTTTTGAATCATTTGCATTTAGAAATAACTCTTTGTGGGACAAAGTTACCATAATGAACTCTGGAAGAAGAATGGAGTTTAGCAGGTTTAATAACTGCAGGGCACAGGGTACAGCGTTCCTCTCTCAATGCCATGGCACCATACGTTTCTCATCATTTTAATCCGATGGTTCGAGACTATGGTTTATTCTTTATATGTTTTTAAAATTTATCTCAGTTTTATTATAAGCATTCCATTTGTATGTAAATTATGATTACTTTTTAAAACATTTTCATGGTTTTAAGGTTTCAGTAGGCACCAAAATGAATATAATTTGCTAACGACATATTTTGTGTGACCTTATCTTACAAAATTTAACCAAAATCATGCTAGAAATTTGTGTTTAAAAGTTACTCTTGCTTCCTGGCTGCACTGATCACCCGTGTTCACTAACTGTTGTGTTGTTGGGCTATTAACAGTTCGCATGGACTCATGTCACTTTACTGATAACAGTTACTCAGTCACATCTTGTCATCCAAAATCTGTTTGAAGGCATGATATGGTAAGGGGACAGAATTATGCTGCTTTATATTTATGTCGTAGCATTTTTAAAGCTCTTTCACATTGAACGGTGTCTCAGATTTCTACTAAAATGTGCTGTTTGTTGTTGCTCTACTCCCTTAAAGCACCTTACTGGGTTTTGTTTATTTTACCCTTTGACACCTGGAAGACAAACACGTTGTTCACTGGGAATATTCCTCCTTCAGGTTCCAAGTAAAATGAAGAAAGTCCTTATAAAAGCTCCAAACAATTATTTACATTTTCAGGTTTTACTGCATTTGAATGTCTTTTTATATTTAAAAGCATAGCTTTTAAAAAGAGCATGCTATTTACGTGGAACGCAGGAAGAGCCTGACCGTTTGCCTGCCAGCAGTGTGCTGGCAAAGCCTTTTCTCCAGGTGAAAGGGGTCGGTTCTGTGCTGTGCGTAGGAGGAGGTGCTCAGATTTCAGGTGTATGGAGTTGCTTGCTATATAGCAGAGGCTTGCAGATTCAGAAAGCATTTTTGTAAGTTAAAACCTAGTTTAATATTACAAAAATTATTAGTTAAAAATTAGAGTGGAGAAAAATGATTTTAAGAAATTTGATCATATTTTCCCCACATTTAAAAAAAACATTAATTAAAATCCTTTACAGGAGGTTTTATTAAAATAAATTATTCCCTTGACAGCTTCATGATTTTTAGCTAAGGGTTTGGGGGGGTGTGCACAGTTAGAATCATTTAAGATTATCTTCCATATGTAAACTTTTAATTGATCGGGGGAAGTTATTAGATTAGTAGGTTCTGTATAATTACTAGGGTTTAATTAGTAACTATAGGCTAAGATAGAATTAAAATTGATAATTTTTCCTGAGAGAATTTGTATTAAGAGCTTGGTATAACTTTATCAGATTATACTCTGTCTAAACCAAATGACTCATTTCCATTGTGAAAGGCTGCTTTTTAAATATTCTTTTCTCATCGATGTTTCTCTCTCCCTCTCCCTTCCTCTATAAAAAAAATCAATGGAAGTATTTTAAAAATAGTTTATACTATTATAACTTGTTCCTCATAAAAATGAAACTTGAAAGTCCACAGTTATAGAAATTGTTATTCAATATTAAATGTATTATTTAGTATCTTCCTTAGCAATATTTTCCTACTATGTTAATTTATTTATAGATTTTGCTCTGCTTAATTCTAAGCATGCAAATTTGGTTGATATTTAATATTTCTAATAATGTTTTGGCAAATGTTATGTTCTGGACTAGTCTGCAGTGTAATTCAAAGGATTATTAAATTGGTTCATTATGAGTCATAAGCTGTATAAAATATTTGCCACTTAATCATATGAACTTTTTTCTACTGACTTTTTTTTTAAAGGTTCCTTGTCCCAATATCCAGTGTTATCTGCAATGACATAACTGCTTACCTTTTTGGATTCTTTTTTGGGAGAACTCCATTAATTAAGGTAATTATAAAATGTCACAAGCAAGCCACGACCCTACCCTTAAAGATCCGCCACTGGAGACTTGGCGCTTTGCCCATCGTTGGCTCCCGAGGGGCTTTGATCTCCTTTGGCTGCGTGTAGCAGCCAGAGTTGGGCAGCGAGCGTGNTACGCCAGAGTTGGGCAGCGAGCGTGTTTCCCGATGGTGCCGCCCGGTGCCCCTGACGGTTCTGTCGGCTCCCCTCTCCCGGGGAGGCTCTCCCCTCTCTGCTGGTTTCTCAGCTGCTGTGNGTGTAGCAGCCAGAGTTGGGCAGCGAGCGTGTTTCCCGATGGTGCCGCCCGGTGCCCCTGACGGTTCTGTCGGCTCCCCTCTCCCGGGGAGGCTCTCCCCTCTCTGCTGGTTTCTCAGCTGCTGTGTGGGTCTCCTTCCTGCGGCTCCCCAGCAGCCCCAGAAACAAGCCTTTCCTGGCCTCTGCTCCCCCAGCTGGCTCCCTGTCCCCTCCTCCGCCACACCTGTTGAAAGTGTGCATCCCAACATCTTGACACACTCGTGTCCACTGTAAGACTTACACCCAAACTCATTAAGAAAAATTGGGACCCTACAGTAAAATACTAATAATATAAGTAATAAGGAAAAGATAAAATAAGGGAAAGGAAAGTACATGTGAGCAGACCATGTTTGTTTTGCCTTAGATTTGGCTCTTTTTACTGTCATTGCAGGCAAAGGAGGAAATGAAATAATTTGTAAGTTCCCATTTTGGGGAAGAAAGAATCAAACCAGTCTTTATGGAAGAGCAGACTTGTCCTTTAAAATCCTTCCATAAATTCTTTCCCACAGCAGCCCAGCACATGGCATCAGGCTGAGCCATAGGGGTACAAGCAAGCTATATACAGGGTGTCCCCTCAAAATGTATGTACTCTTTAGTAGCTGAGGATTATTAAATGAAAATGAAGTTTATTTTAATAAACACTGCCTTTATAATTATTCAAAGTGTGTGTGTACATTTTGGGGCGACATCCTGTATTTTTCTTAGGTGTCTAAAGCTGCTTCAGCACAGAGCAGTGATTAAGTATTCAAGGCTCCTAGGCCAGCTGAGAAGTGCCTGGCTTAGGAGGCCTTTAGAGAGGCTGCTATGGCTGTAGCGACTCTCACTGTCTGATTTTGAACTTGGAGTTGTAATGAGTTTACTAGGCTGGATTAGTTGCATAATATATTCAGATGTAATTAAGTTCACCCCTAAGTCAATATGCTGTGGAACAGTTTAATTTGTAGCCTATCTTTAATCAGCAGGCACTTTTGCATTTGAGTCAGCTCCCAGTTCCTGACAATAATACTAAGTTACCCTAGGAGAAGGTGTTATCAGCCCCGTTGCTGTGGCAGAATCGTCAGCTATGTCAAGAAACCATTTCTGCCGACCCTCTTGGCTTGAACATCACAAGAAGTCTGTATGGAGCTCGTGTAGCTTAACTCTCACCCGTTTCCATCTGCAGACACTTCCCTGGGATCTTTATTTGGATTCTATCCCTATTGTTCCACTGAAAGCTTCATCACAGAAGCCGTCAGTGATCTGAGCACAGCTCCCCACACACCAGTCCTCGCTTTGCAGGGCACCCCTGAGCCTTCCCCCCCTGCCCCTGCACCACCAGGTTCCAGAGCGTCCCCCCGACGCCTCTCCCTGACAGCCTCATTAACTGAGAAACAGTGGCTCTCATCTGAAACAAACAGTAGCTATTGTTAGAAGCACAATATTTTCCTTTCCTCGTGGAGACAGACATAGAGGGTGCCCAGAGGGAGAAGGGCATGCAAACACTTGGGGAGCAAATACCGTATCTGGGGCCGTGGACCGTTTGGCCATCTGAGAGAGAGGCGCATTGTCTGCATGACCTTTTGGGGAATACGCGGAAGCCTGGTGTGCTGCAGTGTCCGTGTTTAGTGAGGCTCATTCTGGTTTTGGTGCATGTCAAATGTCAGGGCCTGATATGTGTTGCATACTACTAGAGAAGTTTGTACAAATGAATTGGGATCATGGGATGAAGGGGAAAGGGTTGCAGAGCCATTCCAGGAAGATGTACAAGGTGCTGGGGGCATTCATCAAACAGAGCTTGCATATGTATTGTGCTTGGTGAGTGCAGTAACTCTCTTTAATTTTATTTGGCCTTTTCTAGCTGTCTCCTAAAAAGACTTGGGAAGGATTCATTGGCGGTTTCTTTTCCACAGTCGTGTTTGGATTCATTGTGAGTTTTACTAAGATTTATATTTTATATTTTGAAAAATGGTAGCAAGTTTATCAGTCTATCCTAAACCTGAAAGAATTAAGCCACAAAATGCTAATAATGTATTTATTGAAACGCTCTAAACAGAATCTATTCTGTACCCCAGTAGCTCTCATCCTGGCCTCATATCGGAGTCACCTGGGGAGCTTATTCCATATGTATGTCCCAGCCCCATCCCAGGGCAATTAACTCCCCCAGTTGATTCTAATGTACAATGAGGCCTTGAGACCCTCTGCTGTGCTGTTGTGTTCTGGCAGTTTCGAACAGCTGTTGTGTCCTGTGGGGGACACAGGTGCTGGGACAGGTGGTGGCCTTGAGTAAAAGCAGAGAATACAAATGATGTTGAGGAGCTCTGCCTGCCTTACACATGCTGCTACTTGACTAAGCAAGTGCTTGAGGCTGTGAGCCCAGCGTGCAGGAAAAGTTTGTTAAAATTAATTGATGTTCACATTTAGCCATGAATTAATGGGTCTTGTTAATGTTTTAAAAATTAGTTTACAGTTATGGAATGTAGGTTTTTGTTAAAAGTTATCTCATAAGAATCAATAAAGATACAGTAAAATGGCTGGATGTAAGATAAATATATTTAAAAATTACTGTTAGGAAGTTAAATTTTTTAAAAGTGTAGTCCCTGACAGTTCTAGAATATATTCCACAGCCAAATATAGAGTAACTAGAAACAGCATGGAGCTTTGAAAGAGAGCAAATATATGAAAATGTATCAGGTTCCTGGATGGAAAACTATCATAATTCCTCTGTTTAATTAGCAGGTTGACTTCATTCTCAGTGAAAATTCCAGTAGGATCCAACAAAACTAATCCAGTCAGTGTTTATGTTGCAGAATATTGATGAGACAATGATTCATAAACAGAATAGTGAAAAGGGAACTGATCCTGTCCAGTGTTTACACATCACAAAACAGGGGAGAATTAGAACATAGTTAAGTTAAATAATGCTCCAAGAATTTGGTATTGTTAAAGAGTAATTAGAAATACTACAGGAAGAACCATGTCATTGGAAGAAAATAAACAGCTACCCTGTAAGAATGAAATGTATGACAAAAATAATGAGGAGGCACAGTATATATTTTTAAATAAGTAATTTTGAGGAAACTGGTTAAAAGCAAAATCAGTTTATTACCATTCCTAGTGTCAATTTGCACTTCTGTTAACCATTCCTGAGCAATATAATGGGATGAGTGGCTGCAAAATAAAATAAAATAAAATGTTGTCTAACAATTTAAATTTAAAATGAAGTTTTGTTTTATGTATCTTCTTCCATGGCTGAGAACAGCTATATTAAAAGTTGCATTGTTGTGGTCAGGGAAAGACCAGTGTAGTCGAAGTCTTCTGGGTTGGTTAAGAACAAAGGTGTTTTTCATCTGTACTTTTTTTTTAGTAATTTGAAGTCACTGGTTATTTAATAATTTATGAAATTAAATTAATATAACATTTATGCAAAGAACTTCAGTCCTGTACTCTCCCATACCTTAGTAATTACTGGCTTCTGCTAATGTTAGTTATGTATACTCTAGAAAAGTAAAACCTTGTTTGAATGTTTAAATCAGCTGCTTTTTTTCTCTCCTCTTCCCTCTTTTAATTGTGGTCATATCGAGATAATCTCATCGATTTCCGAAAGGCCTTTGGTTTTCCCAGTGACTTTGCAAAGTCTTTTATTGGGCCAGTTTTGACCGTCGAGTGTGAATGCGAAGAAACGTAGGCATTCTATCTGTGACCTTCCTGCTGACACAAAACACACACACAGTTTTCCCCAATGTTTCATGAACTCTGGCTTTGTTACGCAGGCCGCCTACGTGCTGTCCAAGTACCAGTACTTCGTCTGTCCAGTGGAGTACCGGAGCGACGTGAACTCCTTTGTCACGGAGTGTGAGCCCTCAGAGCTCTTCCAGCTCCAAAGTTATTCCCTCCCTCCCTTCCTAAGGGCAGTGCTGCGACGGGTAAGGTCAACGTGGGTCTGGGTCCTCTATCCCAAAGGTTAAGGTTTTTATAAGAAATTGACTAATGTAGAGTTTTTCATTCTCTGATGCAGAAGTGGTTTCACAGTCTGCTTGGCATCAGTGATGTAGTCTAGCCCTTTGTAATTTCCCTTTCTGGAACATAAAATGGGTATTACTATCATACACTTGTTTTTCTTAGGAATTTACTTGCCTAATGGTTTGAATAATGTTAATTTATCTTATATTTGTTTTGAGGACATTTAAAAATATTCCTTAGATTTCTACAAATTGGATGAGTTACAATAAGTTTCACAGGTAATTGGCATGAATTGGCTAAATTTAAAAATTAATTAAAATTTACCAGCTCAAAGATTGCTTGATTTTTCAGGCGACCTTTGCTAGTAAAGAAAGCTGCTGCTTCGAAAACCCAGTTTCCCTCAAGGTCTTACACTGAAGGATGTGACATGCAGAACTCTGCTGATGTGTTACTTGAAATGGGGAATCAAATAATTGTGTGTCTACACTCGAGTATATATGTGTATCTGAAACATTTATTTTTAACTCAAGTCCATAACTTTTTTTTTTTTTCAAATGTATCTGTTGATTTCAGAGAGAGGAAAGGAGAGGGAGAGAGAGAGAGAGAAACATCATTGATGAGAGAGTCATTGATCAGCTGCCTCCTGCACGCCCCCAACTAGGGGTCGAGCCCGCAACCCGGGCATGTGCCCTGACCTGGAATTGAACCCCGATCGCCTGGATCCTAGGTCGACACTCAACCGCTGAGCCACGCCCGGCCGGCTAAAGTCCATAACTTTTGAGAAGAATAAATTATTTCTGTCCTTGAGTGCTCAGTACATGGATTCCAAGAATGTTTTCCATGTCCAGGCTATCTGTTATCTGCTATAAAACTTTGGATACTGCCAGTCTTTGATTAGGAGCAAGGCCGTTGCTTTGAGAACAGGTCCAAAGATTGGTGTTCCCAATAATGGTTGTTAAACCACACCTGCTATGCACAGTCGAGAGTTTGTAGTTTCAGTTTCTTTAAAGTGGAGCAAGGAAAAAAAATAAAGTGGAGCAAGAACTAAGCATTCACAGAACAATTTGCAGAATTCTCTGTTTTTATGATCTCCGCAAATCTTTTATAATTGTCTTACTGATGCACTTTTTAAAGCAACTTATTTTCATGTGTTTCCATAGCATTTAACTTAGTATTAAGAGAAAGACCAACTTTTCCCTCACTTTGTCATATAAAGTTAAAGTGAAATAAAATACAGAATTTAAATACATTACATAATTACAAAAACAAAGCACTACTGGTAAAAAACAAATTCAGAAGTTAACTCAGCTGACTCTTGGTAAGTCTACAGCTCAAGTGTTGTAGAAATTTCTAGATGCATTAGACAGTGGCCTGCCAGCTGCTAGGTTTCGGTGTGCCAGGCACTGTCACTGTGCATACAGAGGGCATGAGAGTGCTGGCTAAGAACAGGATGGTAACGAGAGCTTGCAGTGTTTTTCTCCCAGGAGCTTGAAAGTTTGTAAAATTAACAAAAATGTGGTATATGCTTTGACTCATTGTTCTTAGATTAGGTGACATGTTCAAATACAACCTCCCCTCTTTTTTTCCTCTTTAGGAAAGAGTGAGCTTGTATCCTTTCCAGATCCACAGCATTGCTCTTTCAACATTTGCATCTTTGATCGGCCCCTTTGGAGGCTTCTTTGCCAGCGGATTCAAAAGAGCTTTCAAAATCAAGGTATGTGTTCAGGTTCTTTTTTTACATTATTAGAAAATGTAATAAAGTTGGAATTCGGTTCTCCGTTGGTCTCACACATTAAGCCCCTTGTGTCAGCCTTTTTTATAGAAATGGCAAGTGTTACTTAATTGGGGACAAGCACAGAATCTTGGTCCTTCAGGTGCTCATCCTAGAGTCCAGCCATGAATTCTCTGAAGATTGATGCCTGCCACAGTCTCACTTCAAGGGAGAGACAGGGAAGCCTTTGAATATGTAGCTGCCCATTTACTACATCAGGGGTCAGCAAACCTTTTCTGTAAAATCCTGTGTTTATTAATCATATCCCAACTACTCACCTCTGAACTCTGCCATCATCTTGGGAAAGCCTGGTAGACAATATATCAATGAGTGGGCATGTTATTTATTTTGTAAATAAAGTTAATGAAACTTTACAAAAACAGGCTGGATTTGGTCTGTGGGTAGTTTGCTGATCCCTGTCCCAGATTCTTGAAATTATCCCTATGTTTTAAGTTAATTTCTCATAAAGTGACATATATTTGCCCTGTTCCTTCAACTCTCCTCACGTGGCTTCACAACATTAAGACTGAATGTTGTGCCATTAGAAGTTAGAGGGCAGGCCTCTTGGAGGAAGTGGCATTTGAGCAGTAATCTGATCAAAGAAGGGGAATGAGTTCTGCAAAGACATCTAAGGAAGAGAGTTCCAGCAAGTGCGAGGGCGTGGAGGGACTCAGCCTGTAAGAAGGGGGAAAGAGCAGTGTGGCCAGATCCCGCAGGGCCCCAGGAGCCAGGGATATAAATGAACTCAGTGAGGACTTGCAATGGGGAAGGTAGTGGGTTACGTGGGATGTGATATTCAAAAGTGTGTAAGATGTCCCTGTTCCCAAGATGCTCAGCACCCACTAGGGGAGGTAATACATGTCCATGAAGAACCAGGCAACAGTCATGCATCACTAGTGTCCTGTAGAGGCTGCACACAGCAGAGTGGAATTGAGTTACCATGGCTCTCTTGTGCTTTGGTTAGTAGGGAAGAGAAGGAAGGAAATGTATTGGCAAAAATTAACCAAGTAATTTCTCAGTAATTGCTTTATGCAGAGAAGTGTTATATTTAGAATGGTGTTTTTTTAATGGCTTCTAATCCAGGGTTTCCTGTTGACTACTGAGATTTTTTTGCATGCCTGAAATGAAGGTATAATTGTTGTTGCATTTTAAGATGTTTACTGGTTGCCTGAGTAAACTAAAAGAGGAATTCATCATTGCCATTTCCTGGGCACTGAGAAATGTGGCCATAGCTGTCCAGTCAATTTGCAGAGGCTTACTAACCATTCCCTCAGTTTAATGGACCAATGTGTCCCGAATTAACATCTATTTTTATTTTATTTTTACCTCAGCACTTAAAAAGAGAAGAAATAGTTATCATAGTAGTAAAATGTTTATTTCAGAGTAAGAACTATTAGGATAAATATGAGTAAGAACTAGATGTACATCTGTCAACAGCACTAAAATAACTCCCCAAATAGTTCCTGCTTAAACAGAAAAGTAGTTTATTAGTACATTAGTATATTAGTCATAGCTGACAGCTCTTTTGATTTAGAAGTTTTGTGAACTGAAAATAGTGCTGTATTTAATCAATATTTAACTAGTGTTACTTGAATGTTGCTGTTCAGTAATGTTCTAACATGGGTACATATTAAGATGTGGTTTTACTCTCTTGCACATGTTCTAATAAGTTTGTATGTAGTGGGAAAATCCAGTAGTAAAGTATTTCCTTAATGTCCATGATTCCAGAGACATTTTCTGATAGGAATTTTATAGCAAATGGCTTTTTTGAAAATTTGCTAGTGTGTTGGTTTGTTTCCGCAGGATTTTGCAAACACCATTCCTGGACACGGAGGGATAATGGACAGATTTGACTGTCAGTATTTGATGGCAACGTTTGTGCATGTCTACATCACAAGTTTTATAAGGTATGTTTAGATTTTTTTAAAAAAATGTTTTCATACTTGATTTCTTGAAGTTCTCATTTCCTTAGGCGTTAGTTTGAATGAGTTGCTTTGTCAGTGGGGATCTATAATATCAATAGATCAGGGAATGATGGCTGCTGGAGCTGTGTCACACTGTAGCTTGAGCAGTATAGTTAGATTATAATTATCTTTCGTACATTTGAACTTAAGAAAAAAACAGTAGTACATGCTATGGTCTTTATAGGGCCAAGTTAAAATCCACTCAGTACGGTGGATTGGGTTGGAACATCACAAGATTTAATTTCTCTATTGTGAGTAAGGCATTGATGGTGAAGACAGAGAATTAATCAGGAGGACAGGATAATTCACCCAGTTCCCGGTTACTGCTTGAGGGCCTGTTATGTGTTGGGAAATGTTCCAGGCACGACTGTAGCTACGAACAAGACAAACCAAGCCCTCCCTCGGAGCTTACATTCTTTTTGGGGAGTTGGAGGGAGAAGGGGCAGAATCGGACAATAAACACATAAATATAGCTTGTTAGGTGGTTATAAGCCCCACAGAGGAAAATAAAATAAGCTAGGGGATTATGGTTGGGTGGGGTGGGTTGGAGTGGGGTGAGTGGAGCAGGGTTGCTATTTTATATAGGGTGTTTATTCTTGTTTTTAAACCTCAATGTTTTGGGTCTGGCCCCCAATGCCCATTTGGGGTGTGAAAACTACCCACATGTTAACTTTATTTTCCATGGTCTCTCCTAGTGCCTAAGCCATAGACAACATGTATTTCCTTCATAGACTTGTTTGGACAGAAACTCCTATTTCTAGACCCCTAAATACACATTTTAAATATACACCATAGCGGCGTGAGAATTTTTGTACTGACACTTACTTTCCTTGAGTTGCCTTGTTAGGAGTCTGCATTTTTCTTGAGTAGTCTCATTAGTTTGTCTTGTTAACCTTTCCAGAGAATCCACTCCTGGCTTTGTTAACTTCTCTGTATATTTGTTTCCTGTTTCACTGCCATCCATTCTCTTCCTTCCTCTTTCTTTAGGTTCAATTTTCCGCTCACTTCTCGAGCTTCTTGAGATAAAGATGACAAAGGTTTTCAGCCTTCTGGTCTAATACATTCACCTGAGACTGGACGTCTCCTCTTAAGTACTGCTTAATGCTCATCCCAGATGTTGTATTTGTGTTTGTTGCATTTACTCCGTTACAGATGCTTTCTGATTTCCAGCGTTACAGCTTCTTTGACACGTGGAGTATTTAGAAGTGTAACTGATGCGTCTCCAGACAAGTGGAGATTTTTCTCCTTCTCTTTATTGATTTTTGCCTTAATTCCACGATGGTCAGAAAACACACTCTCTTATTTCAGTGTTTAACATTTATTGAGACTTGCCTTATGCCTCAGTGCACTGCCTGTTCAGGTACATGTGCCACGTGCACATGAGACAGACATGCCTTCTGCAGTCTGGAGGGCGTGTTCTGTGTGGCAGCTGGGTCAGGTTTAATTTTCTGTACTTTTTTTTTCTGTCCCCTTATTCTGTCAGTTACAAAGAGACAGCTTTGTCAAAATCTCCCACTGTGATTGTAAATCTACCTGTTTCTATTTTTAATTCTGTCAGTTTTTGCCTTATATACTTTGAGGTGGTATTAGGTAGATACACGTTTGGCCTGTCCTGTCTCCCTGTTGACTTACTTCTCATATCATTATATGAAGCCCATCTTTATGTAAGCCTTGCTTAAAGCCTGTTTTGTCGGGTAGTAGAAGAGCTGCATCAGCCTCTCTCTTTTTATTTAGCATTCCTTTATCCTTGTAGGGAAAGTGTGTTTTTCTCTTCTAACAGGCATATGGCTGGATTTTGTTTGGTTGTTTTATAACCCAGTTGACAGTCTTTGCCTTTTTGTTTGGAATGTTCAGTCTATCTGTGCACGTTATTTACTGATATAGTCGAGTATTGGTAATTAGTGGTTAGGCCCCCAGAACGCTGTCTTTTCGGCAGATGGCAGCGTTTAGGGCATTAACTGATACTTAAAAAATTTTTTTTTGAATGTGCTCTCCTCCCAGTAGAGAAGTCATGCTGAGCCGCTTTGCCTGCCATTTGAAAGCAAATATTTAGACTGTTAGAGACACAGCGCTGGTGCCAGGATGCTGCTAGCTGGGAGCACCTGCTGACAGTTTTGCATTTAGCTGAACTTGCTAGAAACGCCTCCCTTTTCTCTGTGGGCCCCTACCCTGGGTTTATGTGATGAAGTTGCTGAGTCTTTTGAAGAAATCTAAGACAAGCTGTGTCCTGACGTGAGGAGACTATGGCTGTGAGAGACATACAGCTGCAGTTTTTTGGCATTTGCATGAAGGTGACCCACGGGATGGCTAAATCTGCGTACTGTGCAGTTTTTTTAAATCCAAGATGTTCACTGTGAGATCACTATATAGCAGGCATTTCTTTGTTGCTGGGGTTTTCTACTTCCTGTAGTTCCATTTGAACTGAACAGTCCTTAGAAGTCACAGATGACTCGTGTAAATGTCTTTCTCTGTACCATTCTCCATATATTACTTACGTCTTTTTCCCATTGGAGTTTACTCACTGCTTTTCATGAAAAGTAAACCATGCTCCTCTACTCAGCTGTGCTGTAGAGATTACAAAGAACGATACGTGTACATTAAAATCTGAATTAGGTTCGTTCTGAACTTGACAAAATAGCACATTAGAATATCAACACAGGTGGTCTCCAGTGTCTGAGTGGGTTGAGTTCTAGAGCCCAGGAGGTGGGAGACGCAGTCCCCTGGGTGTGAGTGTCCTGGCAGGAAAGGCGTGAGGGCGTGAGGGCAGGAGGCCTGTCCTGGAGCTGTCTGTCTGACTCAGTGCACAGTGAAGGGTGGGAAGCGAAGGGCTGGAGCAGGGACGTTGGAGGAGCATGTCGAGTCACTGGCCTTAGCTACTTCAGTTCAACCTGGGCTCGCTCCCTCCCCATGGGACTGCTAGGGGAGGTGGGAGAGGAGGGCAGGGCTCTCCTCCTTTCACCTAAACAGACCCACTTGCATTCTTTCTTACACTGGGTTCACCTAAGACTTTCTTTGAACAAAGGCTGTGGCACCTGTTGTAGATGCTGGGTAGGAATTCAGTGCTGGGCTCAGAACCGTTGTGTCCTGTCTCTTGAACATTCGTGGTTTCCTGGGGTAGTTCTTCAAGAAAATACCTCCTTTGACTGAAATTTCTTTGAAGCTAACAAGCGAAAGACTATTTTCATCTGCCCGGAATTTTGCTCCTTTCCTTATAGTTTTTGGGTCCTATCCAGTCTCAGGATTCCTTATCTCTCCCCACCTCTAACTCAGGTTGCCCTTCTGAGAGTTTTCGTAGAGCTCGGATCTGCGCCCCCTGCGTTGCCCAGTATTGTTCCTGGGTTTTGCGTTCTGCTTTCTCTCCACGTCTAGACTGCACGCCTCTCAGCGGGGAATCGTCTGGGTTTTTATCCTGTTGTTGACACTAACATTGGGCATTAAAGTGAGCACTGACCAAGAGCCGTTTCCATTCTGTAAAGATTGCTCCTCTACACTTACAGGCAGGGTTTACTTTATATTGTGGGTATGTGCTTCCTTCGTCTCCCTTCAAATAAGCATGAACTCTTTCTGCTTTGTTCCCAGGGGCCCGAATCCCAGCAAAGTGCTGCAGCAGTTGTTGGTGCTTCAACCAGAACAGCAGTTGAATATATATAAAACCCTGAAGACTCACCTCATTGAGAAAGGGATCCTGCAGCCCACCCTGAAGCTATAGCTGGACCCAGAGAGGGAAGGACAAGCGACACTAAGGAATTCTACAGAAAAGCACCGACAGATGAGATTTTGTAAATGTACAGAAAAAGGTTGGAAAGGCACTAGAGTGAAGATTTACAGACATGAATGTTTCTTCTCTGAAATTACTGTGAATATTTAACAAATACTTCCTTGATCTAAGTTATGAAATACGTAGCAAACTGTCATCAGAGTATCCTGTACTTTTTCTAAAGTGTATTTTCTGATTTTAACTTTCTCTCCCTTCCTTGACATTTTCTTAATTTAAAAGACTTGTTTTAAAGAGTCCGATACTATAAAATGAGTCAGTGGAGGATGTCTTAAGATTGCAGCTGGCAGCGGGCCCTTTGCACAAATATTTACTTCTGCACTTGGAGCTGCTCTCAATCTTAGCTGAATGTTTTATGTGGGGCACAGTGGGAAGTTCATGCTCCTGCACTTCCTCCACTTTGGGTTTGAAGTATTTTCTGAAGGCTGAATTGGGTCCAAATAAAAAAAGGGTTTTCCACTTTCCAAAGTAAGTAAGTAATCATTTGCCAGGGGAAAGCATTCTACTTTTAGGTAGGTTTGAAATTCAAGAGAGGGAGGCTGAAATTTCTACCTTTATTGGCTGACTCTACTTCTGATAAAGTTTGGAAAAACCTAACGTTGCAAAATCTCTGCAAGAGAAACAAAGGAGAGTTCTGCTCTGAAGAACGTAACGTATGCACCCTCCACAGATTATCTGCAGATGACAGTAGCTCAGGAGACAGCGTAAGACAGTGATGTGGCACAGGCTACCTCATGGTCAAGTGCTCTGCTTTTCCTTGTTTCCCTGGGAACTGATTTCTAGAAGTTCTGTAGCCACGAGCACAAAAGATCAAGAGTAGTGAGTAGGGGTGGTGGCTGAAGCAGAGAGGGGGTGCCCAGCTGAGAGAGAGTGACCCATCTCTGGATAAGGCTTTGTATCCTGGGCGCCCTTCCTGGTCCCCTGTGCAGCCCATGGACACTCACCTGGCAAGAAGGAAGATCTGCCTGCAGCAGGCCCAGCTCCACCCCGACTCCATAGGAGCAGCTCATCTCTGTCCAGTTCCTCTTTCACATCATGTCAGAAAACCCGAGGACATCAGCTGAAGATATTTTTCTTGCAAGAATGAAAATCAAGCAGAAGTAATTCCCACCGTGAACAAAAAGCACATGATTGTCAAACCTTTCTCTGAGGACGGGACCCTGGGACCAGACGAGGACATGTTTCTCATCAATGAATGTAAATAAGCTCACGTTGCTGTATGCTCTTTACAACTACATTTATTGAAGAGTCAGCAATAAACCTTTGAAAGTTGCCTATTGCTCCTTGGCTAAATGTTCAGAGAGGGGAGATAGATATATTTTAAAGAATGTTTTACTAATGAAAAGAGGAAATATTTTTGTTTAAATCAGAACAAAGTTCCATTATTTTGTATTTCTGTGATACTATTATGCCTACAATTAAAGAGTGTAGACACACAAGGGCCCCACTACAGATAGCCCTGGGATGTGATCTAGAAGAGCTGTTCTCTCACATGCCCTGCACCGTTACAGTGGAGAGAGAGGAACTCGGTACCAAGAGTCTGATTTCTCGGTTTGGCAACTGGGTGTATTCAGTCAGCGTGATTGCACACTAGTCCATAAAAACCTAGAATTGGCATCAGAAACTATTTTAAGACAAAATGATCACCTTTTTAAAATCAGGCTACTTACAAGTTAGTTTTCTGCATATCTCATTATTTGCCTCATAAAAGCTCCAAATGTTGATCATACAAGAATTTAGCATACCAAAGTTTAAAAATAAAATGAAAATTTTGTAATAGGAAGTTAGGTTGACAAATTGGTGATTTGCACAATAGGAACTCATTGAAGACACACAGTTCCCTCGCATTTTCTTGAGTAACTGGTGAGGCACTGCGATGCGGAATTATGAGAACATCACTGAATACATGTATTATAAAATCAATATTATAATAAAATGTTAAGCTAGAAATATTTGGGGTCACAATAATAGCTTTCCTCAAATATACTGTGAGTAGGTGTACATTATTCTATATGTATAAAAGTAAATTCTTTTAACAAAGCACTAAAGTACCTTTTTAGTGCACTTTTATAGCATGTATATTAAAATAGAAGATATTTTATCAAAAGATAGCCATAAAACCTGGATTTTAATCACTTTTGTATTTGCACTATGAAGAGAGCTTAAATTCTAGTATAGCATCACGGTGGCAGAAAAATGAAAGACTGGGAACTTCCTTCACAGTGATGGCTTATTGCTCCAAATTTGCTATTTTTGGTGGTACTCTGATGGTACCAATTGTTTCACTTTTAAACCTGTGGGATGTAAATGTTTCCTCAGTGTTTCCCCCCTTGTGGTGGTGCAGATATACTTACTGTCTGAATATAAAAGACCACACTCACCCACCCATCACCCCCCTTTTTTTTCATTTACAGCATCACTTTGTATTTTGGTATGAACAAAGATAGTTTCACCTTGTTCAGTGAAAAAGAAATAATAGGAACTGTACATATACTGTGTATGGGCAGGAGATAGTTTATGATATGTGTCAATCAGTTCTCTGAATCTTTTACTGAAACAGGAAAAATAAAACAAATAAGTCACATTTTGACTTTGTCGTTCCACTTTCTCATTGGAGGAGAAACCTCCGTTCAACTAATGTTTACCAAATGATGGATATACATGAGTATTGTCTATTTTGTGTTTTCTGTTACCAACAGCTACAGCGAATCTTTGGGGATGGCGATGATTAAGTTCTGGTGCTGACCGAACAGGTGTGTGGGTTGAGAGGTGATGTTCGTTTACTAGGAAGAGTATGGAATTTCAGTGGCACTTTCCACAGTGTGTAATTATACACATTTGCTCTGGTGAATCTGATCCAGTCCCCACTAGAACTTTAAGTTCTATGGATGCTGAGTGGCACCTGTTTTGATGGGCTCAATGCCAGCACTCCCTAGGCCCTCAAGCTTTGGAACAAGTGAATGGGTTTGGGGGTCTGAAGACTTCACTGTGCACGTTTCCACATGTGGCTCTTGGATAGCCCTTCCCTGCCCAGCCGTTTTCAGTTTGCACAGCTTTGAGATGGGCTCCATTATTCCTAGTTGCCGGGGTCCCTTTAAGGGTTAAGTAAAAACTTATGAATGTGCTTTGATTTGTGTTCAACCTGGAGGAACTGATTAGTAATCCTGAGGTTCCTTTCTTCCTACCCACTGCTGTTGCCCACCTGCAATGGGAAGGGACTGAACAGAACTGCATCTGGCCACGCTGCATTTAGGTGGTGGTAATGTGTTTCTTCCATGGTAGACATCCATCAGTCCACTTCAGCAAGCCTAGGGTGTCTACCAGACTCCCAGCACTGCTTTTTTTGTTTTAGCACCAAGAAAAACACTAGAACTAGTAGTTCTCTACCTCAAGACAGAGGTAAATGCCATACAAGGTGGTGGTTTATCACAGCAATGACAGTGTATAAGCCAGGTTCGGGGGGAAATCAAGACCACCATTCTGACCTCCTTGGAGGAGCCGTCTGTCCTGCAGACAGTTCACAGCCAGATTTCTCTGCCTGCTCCTAAAACTTGCAAAAGTTAAAATTCATTTCTTGAGGAAGGGCTCTATTTGGAAACCTGCATACAGTGGCTGCACATAAAAAGCAGGTCTAGGAGATTTAACCCAAATCAGAAGCCTGTCCTACCTTCGCCCTGTTGTCTCCCTTTTCCTGGGCAGAGGAGAGAACCCAGGAGTCATCAGGTCATATCGAGAGTCACTGAGTAAGGGTTAATGAGTCTGACATTATCTGATGGTGATGTCAGTTTTCAAAAGGAGCAGAGAATACAGCCTGTCTCTCTAATGTGTACAAAGGGCATGGGTGGGTAAAGCAAATGCTTTGTTGCCCAGAGAGAGAAAACCACTGAGGGACAGTCTACCCGAAGGTGTCAGTGAGGGAATGAAATCTCAGACCGCTCTGTCAAGCTTATAGCACAACAGGGCATGGGATTTGGAATTTAAGTTCTCAGACCCTCCTTTCACAGTGCAACCAGCTGAGCTCAAGAGATCCAGGTGGTATTCTGTTCAAGAATGTGCAATGCCTAACCAGACAGGACCTAGAAGAATAGTAAGTTTGAAGAATATATTTGAATAAGTTAATATATATTTTTTATTAGTTTTAATCTCAAAAAGTTGTGAAAAGGAACCAGGAACCAGAGACTTTGGTTAGTACAGGTAAGACACATTTCAGGGGCAAGTCCAAGTTGGTGGCAGGGTAGCTGCCGAGCTCACCCCCTCCCAAGAACACATCAAATATACACCTTAACTTAGAGCAGTTCCTCCTAAGAGCCAGCTGTGAGCCAACTGAACAGTTGCACAACATGCAAGAGAAAGGGAACCCATAGAGAAGGTTGGGGAACCACAAGAGTTCTCCAGGAGCTGAGGGAACAACCCAGGGTCAGAGGAAATGGTGAGCACCACGGCTTGTGTTTCCCTGGCATGTGGTTAGAGGGCAGGCTCTGTATCCAGATTCTCTGGCCAACCGGCTGGGCACTGTAGCGCCCCCAGCTACCCCTCCTGTAGCTAGATCCAGCAGGAACAGCAGGGAGCCACAGTGCATACAAGGTGCCTCTCCACCTGAAAGTTGATTCAGCAGGTACAGCAGGGTGCTACTTTGTGCACCCACTGAGCTGTGTGCACATGGAGCTCCCCACCTGGAGAGAATGTGGGACTAGCAAAATGCCATGATGCCTGCCTGCAGGGATACTCCGTCCAGAAAGTGTAGAGATAGAAAGCACCACGTGATCACATGGGGCTGACCCTCCTGGAGAGAGTGTGGGGCTAGTAAAACTTTGCAGTGCCCACATGCAGGGCTGCCCCATGCAGAGTGACTGAGGTGCTGCTGTGTGCGTGCAGGGTTGCCTGCCAGGAAAGGGTAAAAAACTAGCACAATACAGCTCAGCCAGCATGCAAGACTGCCCACCCAGAGAAAGGGCGGAGCTGGCAGGGCACTGAGAGGCAGGCACACGGTGGCCCCGCCCACGCCCTGCTCTGACTGTGGACACTTAAAGCAGCAGGGAACTCGCACAGGGCTGCTCCTCTGAACGGGCACAGCTGAGTGCATGAGGAGCTGCACTGTCCAGAGAGGGAGCAGAGCTTGTGGGGTGTTGAGAGGCAAGCACACAAAGCAGCCCTGCCAGACACTGCGCTGATCACAGGTAAAGTAACAGGGCGTGCCAAGAGCAAACCAAGCAGCTACGTCAGGCAATCCGACTCAGTAATTAGAAGGGCAAGGAAGCACGCACGCCCCAGGCTGCCCTACCCAGAACCCACTCCTTAGAGCCAGGCCACACACCAGGCACCACACCAGCTGCCTTGACTACAACTGGCCTGCCAAAACTATTCAACACACAGTCTTCACAGAGACCGCTGTTTCAAGACTGGGAGACAGAGCTATTCTATCCAATTCACAGGAATAAACATGGAAAGTAAAAAAAAACAACATTTTTTTTTAAAATGGGGAGACAGAAGGATATGCCCCAATGAAGGAACAAGAAAATACTCCAGAGAAAAGCCCTAATGAATGGAGATAAGTGCTTTATCCAATATAGAATTCAGGGAAATGATCATGAGCACGCTCAACAAATGTAAGCATACAATAAAGAAACTCAGAGAACACTTCAACAGAGAGAGAGACAATGTAATGAAAACCAATCAGAAATGAAGAATGTAGTAACTGAGATGACGAAAACATTAGAAGGGACCCACAGCAGATTAGTTAATACAGAAGAATGGATTAGTGACCTGGAAGATAAAATAATGAAATCCACGCAATTGGAATAGCAAATGAAAAAAGAATGTTTAAAACGTTTAGACAGTGTAAGGGACCTCTGGGACAGCATCAGGCACCCTGACATTCTCATGACAGGGATTCCAAAAGGAGGAGGGAAGGGGGAGAGGAGAGTCAAAGAGAAGCTCAAACAGAAAATCAAAAGCTACCTTGAGAAAAATGAAAATATACTTTACAAAATTTACAAAATGCAGCAAAAGCAGTTAAGGAAGTTTATGGTTACACAGGCCAATCTCAAGAGGGGGGAAAAAAATCCCAAATAAACAATCTAAATTTACACCTGACAAAACTAGAAAAACAGGAACAAACAAACCCCAAAGAAAGTAGAAGGAAATAATAAAAATCAGAGTGGAAATAAACAAAAGAATAACAATAGAAAAGAGTAATGAAACTTTGAAAGCATACATAAAATTGACAAGCTTCTAAGATTCATCAAGCAAAAAAGAGAACAGAAATAGAATCAGAAATGAAAGAGGAGGGATTATACCCGACACCACAGAAATACAAAAGATCATTAAATAATACTATGAACAATTAATTATATGCCAACAAATTGAACAATCTAGAAGAAATAAATAAAATTTGGGAAACATACAATCTTCCAAGACTACACCAGGAAGAAGCAGAGAATATGAACAGCAATGAAATCGAAGCAGTAATAAAAAAAACTCTCAACAAACAAAAGCCAAGGACTGGGCGACTTCACAGGTGAATTCTGCCAAACATTTAAAGAAAATTTCGTACCTATCCTTCTTAAACTATTCTTCCAAACTCATTCTATGAGGCCAGCATTACCCTGATACCTAAATGGAAGACTTTACAAAAAAAAGAGAATTACAGCCAGTGACCTGGATGAATATAGATGCCAAATTCTCAACAAAATACTAGCAAACCAAATTCAACAGAACATTAAACAGATTATACACTGTGATCGAGTGGGATTTATACCAGGAATGCAAGAGTCACAAAACAATTAATGTGATACATCACATCAACGAAACCAAGGATAAAAATCATACAATTGTCTCAATAGATGCAGAAAAAGTATTTGACAAAATTCGACATCCATTTATGATATAAACTCTCAACAAAGTGGGCACAGAAAAAACTTAACTTGACAAAGGCTATATAAAGGCACATGGCTATCACCATAATGGGGAAAAGCTGAAAGCTTTTTCTCTAAGATCACAAACAAGACAAGGATTCCCACTCTCACTACTACTACTTAATATAGAAATAAATACTTATATGATCAACTAGTCTATACAAAGGATGTAAGACTATACAATGAAATAACAAGTCTCCTCAATGAGTGCTGTTGGGAAAACTGGACAGATAGATGCAAAAAAATGAAACTGGGCTGCTCTTTTATACCATATATGAAAATAAACATAAATGGATTAAAGACTTAATGTAAGACCTGAAACAAAAGGCCTAGAAGAAAACATAGGTCCAAACTATTTTACATCAGTCTAAGTAATATCGTTTTGGATATGTCCCCTTGAGCAAGAGAAAAAAAAACCTAAAAATAAACAAATGGGACTTCATCAAACTAAAAGGCTTCTGGTCAGAGAAGGAAACCATCAAAACGAAAAGACAGCCTACTGAATGGGAGAATATATTCACAAATGATGTATCAGTAGGGAGTTGATATTCAAAATACAGGGGTGAGCAAAAGTAAGTTTACAGTTGCTCATACGGAAAACACAATAATTAGTAAATAATAATACAAGAATACTGTGTTTTGTGTACCCACAACTGTAAAACTACTTTTG